GTAATGTATTATGTGCTTCTCCACATTTCCTACAGCCTGAAAATTTACATAATTGGTTTTCTGAATGATGAGCCAAACATACATTACAAATGCTTAATTGAGTAACCTTTTGATGACGCTCTTTTATTGTTAGGTCTAAGAATTTTTTGCAATGATATATAGCATGAGTTGTTTCATTGCATAAATAACATTTAAATTTTTTTGAAGTCGCATGCAATACGGTCCTTTTTTGATAATCAAATCGTTTCTTTTCCTTTTTTTGATTGTCACCGCATTCATTTAACCTTTTTGCACTTTCAACCGCTTCTAATAGTTGACAGTGATTATTTAAAAATTCAATTATGTCTTTGACTTCTGAGACTTCAGTTTTTGGTGCTTGTTTTTCCCATGCTCGCAATGTGTTTGTGTCAAGTTTTGTTGATATGACGTGAATCATCAGAGGACCCCATAAATTAGCATCGTGGCCTAAATTTTCTAGTGCTTTCATGTTGCCGACTAAATCGTCAGTAAACATTCGCAGATTGTCCGCTGATTCTTTGATAACTGGTTTTATATCATAAATGGCTTTTGTATGTTGTTGCACCAAAATCCGTTTATTATTGAACCTGTTGTTCAAACTATCCCATGCTATCTTATAATTTTTTGCCGATGTTTCGAAGCATTGTATTACTTTCAATGCGTCGCCCGACAAAGCTGCTTTTAGATAAAAAAAACCTTTGTACATCAGTTAATGTTTCGTTCTCGTGAATTAACGCATTAAATATATCATTGAATGTTGACCATTCTTTATAGCTGCCGCTAAATGTAGGTACACTTAATGGCGCTAATTTTACAATTGATGGTTGATTAGATACACAACTGTTTGTTAGTGTTGACGTCATTATGGGTGGTTGTGATGTGTTTCGAATATCTACCGTGTGATTTATTTCTTCTATTTCTGCTTGATCACTAGCCAATATTCGTTCATACTCTGATACTGCCTCAAAGTACATTTCTTCAAACTGAATTCTGTATGGATCTTCTGGGCTTTCTGGATCTCTGAGTTCTTCAATTTCAGCCTGAATCTTTTGAAATTCATTCCATACTTCTTCAATTTTTTGTCGGCGGACTTTGAGTGAAGTCCTATCCCAACCTTTCTGTGCTGCTGCAGACACGAAAGTAACAAACCTTGTCAGTTGACCTTTGATTGTACCTCGCCTACCATATAATACTGCATTCTCCACAGCTGGCTGCTCGGCCATTGTATGCTTATGGGCAAAGAAAACCCAATATTATTTTTAGCTTAGTGTAAACAAGTATAATTAACTATATTTAAATAACTAAAACACACTACCCGAACTTNTAAGTGTAAACAAGTATAATTAACTATATTTAAATAACTAAAACACACTACCCGAACTTTACTCACATACGCACTTTTTGTACTCGAAAATTTATTTATTTTTTAATTATTCATATAATTGCGGATCGAAGGACCAGAAATGTTGGTGAGCGGAATTATTAACCGTTAAAAAATCGAACGCTCAATTAACCTTATTTTTTTGATATAAAATTTTTTTAATTTGTTTGATTAATGTAATGAATATTAAATTTAACATGAATAAATAAAATGTACAAAATATTTGTTCTTAATTTTATTTATAATTAAAACTTACATGAAAATATTTAAATACAAATGTAACCTTGATTAATATTGGAGCGCGTCGCTGATGGTTCAGCGGTGGAACGTACACTGACTAGATTTACAATAAAAGATACATTGCTGACCAGCTAAACAAGATAAAAGACCATACTATAGTGTGACTCGCGCTAACAGTATCCATGAATTGTGCTATTTGACGTTGCACTGATTTCTTCCTGTTCGCAACTTTTGTTCGACTAAATACACGTCCAATTAACTTATTCAGCTCTTTTGTGTAAAAAACGCTGTGTATGAGATTTCCCAAATAGTCTTCCAAATGGTACATAGTTGGATCTGTTTGTTTAACTCTGATTACGGTAAATAGTTAGGCGCTTTAGTTTGGCAAGTAACCCTGTTAAACACTGATTTATATTACCTTGTCACCCATGCCAACTTGACCGATAAATTATCGGGTATTTTGAGTAATTTGAGCCTGACGAGAGCGGGTTTTTCACGGTTTGCGCCCATGTCATTCCAACTGTTCTATGTTTACGCACGTTGTTGTATTCGTGAAACAACGCAGATAACCGACTAACCCACTTGTAAGAGCCATGTGAAATAAATTCGCTCTATGACGTGGTCAAATCGCAACTCCGGCCAACTACTGAATGATATCTACGACACAACTGATTCTTCTCGTCCTACAGGTTGCACAACGCCAAGTGATTGTGGGTGTCGTGAAACGTATTTTGCAAATCCGTCGACGCACCATAAAATGTACCAATGTCATCGATCAGGCTGTTTACCCATTTTTACGAGGTCAGCGTGCCTATATCGTCAAGATCCTTGATATTTATTCGGACATGTGTGTACGTCATACGGGCCTGCCAGTGGAGTTTGTCAGCAATGTTCTTATTCATAACGTCGATGGTATCTGTTCAACGTATTCGGCTTTTTGCAACTATTCAATATAGAAACGATATCCACAAGTCTAGTGTTGCCAGCCGATCAATAGATATCAATAAACGTAAACATTCTACTAGCTGATTGGTATAGTCGTAGTACATGTGTTCTTTTTCTTGTAGTTCAACCTCAATTGTAGACTCGTACCGACAATGGATGTATCACTAATGCTAATATCAACGGTAAGAAATTGTTTGCATCACCTGCGTGGCCCTTTTCAAACAATGGTTTAAAAGTGTTAACAAATTTTTACCTTATTTTTTCAACGATCCGTCTTTATATAAATGTACATCAGTTTCTGTTTGAACGAAATGCCCGGTTATACTCGTGCGGGTTAGATAACGTTCGTTTCTGGAGTATCTAAATCATGCAGGAGAAATAGAAGTAGGGAGTGAACTGTATAAATAAATAAAATGAATTTAGGAATATATAATAATCACTTGTATTAAAAATATATACCAAAATATTATATACATAAATGTTGTCAGATGGGGATACTTAATACAAATGCAACAAAAGAACAAACAATAAGATTAAAAATAAGACAAAACTATATGATTATTAAGTACTTATCGACACCGATGATGATGAATGGTTGATGTAAGTGGAAGGTGAATGAAGTCATTGGTATGACAATTGACCAGGTAAAAATGTATTTTGGCGAACAGTACTTCAAATGTATGAATGAAATTCACGATGAGCATATCGCCAGGGCAATATACAATAACGCACAAAGGTGCGACAATCGCAAGACGATTTATCATCGTTTTTAAACAACTACGTGCTCGAAAATACCGCAGAAATATCTAATAGGACGAGTTATGATTTAAATGAAACATAACTCATAAATCATGATTTATGAATGAGACAAGTTAAAATTCACAAAAAGGGGCCGAAAATAACGTCCTCTTGTAATGCTTATTCAACAATTTCGATTAGATTTTTTTTGTTANCACAAAAAGGGGCCGACAATAACGTCCTCTTGTAATGCTTATTCAACAATTTCGATTAGATTTTTTTTGTTACGCGTGCAAATCCGATTCGGAGTAAACACTGGGTTTTTTCAAAAACAGTAAATCCACAAGACCCAAAGTCAGTGACAATTTTTTCTTTTACACATTGGTTAGATACGATTACATATATGTGATTGTATCCCACATTATTATTATGACGCTCACTAGGCTTATATCGTTGATACGTGTCAGTATTTCCGGAACACTTTCAAAAGTTAAGTTGAAAAAATTAAAATTTTTGTGAAAAAGTTGTCATTTTAAAACCCCCCTGTGGGCAGGTCTAGGATTAAATTTATAGAAGATGATTTTTATCGCAAACATTACATTTTTTTTTAAATTTCGACAGCCATTTGCACATAGAAGATAAGGTGTCGGGCAAATTTTTTTTTTTCATTTTATAGTACATAACATAAGCTTTAATTTAACATATGTTTAAAGGACGCAGTATTTCCGGAACATTTTCAAAAGTTCAGTTGAAAAAGTTTTATTTTTTATACAATGTTTCAAGTTTCGAACGCCCTCTATATAAGGGGAAATTGTTCAATTTTAATAAAAAGCATATCAAATGAAAGAAGTACTTATAATATGTTTAGAAAAAAAAAATTTGTGCTGATACACACATTTTTCGAAAAGTTATAGCATTTTTAAGTCGAAAATTTTAATACAAAAATAGCATTTTTTTAACTACGACGGCCGTTTACATGCAGAAGACAAAGTGTGGGGACAAATTTTTTTTTCATTTTATAGTACATAAAATAAACTTTAATTTATTATATGTTTAAAGGACGCAGTATTTCCGGAACATTTTCAAAAACTAAGTTGAAATAGTTAGTTTTTNCGCAGTATTTCCGGAACATTTTCAAAAACTAAGTTGAAATAGTTAGTTTTTGTAAAAAAGTTGTTATTTTAAATCACCCCAATGAGCAGGATAAATGTTAGATTTTTAAAAAAATGATATCAAATGAAAGGATAATATCTAAGGTTTTAGTATAAAAAAAAAATTATGTTGATTTGTTGATTTTTGAAAAAGTTATGGGAGTTTTAAGAAAAAAAGTGAAAAAAATGACAAAATTTACCGATTTTTAAATTTGTAATTTTTTTTAGATATTTCCCCCATTTGCGGGGAACGAGGGAAAATCATTCAATTTTTAAGGGTAATGTCTTCAACTAGATACG